TTGCTGGGGGGGCCTCTGCCACAAGCCCCACCGACTGCTGCAGCAGCTGGTGAGTGCAAGGGTTTTTTTTTTTTTTTTTAAAGTGCTGGGATGCTGGGGCGGGGCAGCCATTGACGGCACTGGGAGAGTGGGCAGGGGCTGGGCCCTGTTCAATTCGGCCAAATCTCCAAATCAAATTTGGCTGAATCGATTCGGGATAGTGATTCAAATCACTGAATTGAATCGCTGTCCTCCCGAATCGGCCAAATCTGAAGTGAATACTAGCTGCTTTGCACAGGCCTAATGATAACCTAAATAAGACATTCTATGGTTTAATATGTAACACTTTGCTTATGTACCATGGCTGCGTTCCCTGCCAGTAGGAATCTTTAAAGAAATATAGTATTTGATTTCCCACTGATTTTATAATAGAGCTACCAATACACTTATTTTTTGTTTTAATATATGTTCTGGTCAGCAATGTTGATTAATTAGTGAATGCAAAGGCACTTAGAATTTTTGGAAATAATATGATACTTGGGTCATTTTCACCCTGGGACCATGTTTTACCAACTGGGAGAGGGTAGAGTAAGGGAAAGTCTACCCTGCTTTGAGTTTGATCACTTGCCTCATGGGAAATTGCCACATAAGTTTGTCAACACCTCATCTTTAGGGATTGATGAAGAAACCGTAAGAATAGGCTTAGTTTCCAGTTGTTTTTATTCATAATATGATCTGGCCTTAAGAAATAGATTGCCATTTAAAAACTTAATAGTGTATCCTCAGAATGCCACATTTAATACCAGACAGAGTAATTAGTAAGTCTGCTGTACTCTTACAGCCTCTGCAGTATTTTACCCTGGTTTAATTAATGATACAACAAAACTTGCAAATATGTTACTTTGTTTCATAGGAAAATAGTTTTGAGCAATTCATTATTAACTACTGTAATGAGAAGCTGCAGCAGATCTTCATTGAACTCACCCTTAAAGAAGAACAGGAAGAATACATACGTGAGGTAGTAATAAAATTTAGTTTTTCATATGCTAGTTTCTTGCCTTCTTGCCTAAATGTACCTTTTGGGGGCATAACACTGAGAACTCTCATTAATCCTAAATCTGCCATGGAATGCATCTGCTATGCAAGAAAAGTTGGGGAGGCTGTTTGTTTGTTTGCTTGTTTGTTTTTATTTCACATTCTCATGTCTGAGGTGGTAAGAGGTCAGAATGAACTTTTATTTATATATATTATTAATAATGCATGATTGATAGGTCTAAAATCAGGTAGGTAGATGAAATGAGATTGTATGAAAGTAATTGTAGATAGATTCTATTAATTTTCTAAAGTGAATTTTTAAAATAAGCCATAGGTATTGTTTTAAGAATGGACTCTGAACATATAAAAGCCCACCTTATTGTGGTTTTGTGGTTTTTCAGTGGTTAGCCATGAAGTTAATGTTTTTTTTGGTTCTAGCAATATATTCTTTTATACATACCAGTCAGAGGAAATGTTGTTCAGAACTGTAGAAACTTAGTACATGTTCTCTGTATTCAGATTGAATGGCACCATTGTGCTATGTTAAATGTTTTTGAAAACTGCATAGACTTTCTTCTTGCCTTGTAATTATCAAGATAATACAGAACTTAGAGTATTTTTTCATTGATTGGTCAAGGACTTGAAAACATAATTACTGTAATTTGTTCTTTGAATTAAACTTCAATTCTTTCTGAAGAAACTAAACTGTTAGTAGATATTACTGCAGAATACAAATTAAGAATGGACTTGAAATAATCAGGCTTTTGCTCCATAAATTTGGCCATCTCCCTCAATCATGCACACCAGCAAGTTTCTGTAATGCATATGTTGTCTGGTCTAGTGCTTCCATATTTGGAAGTTTTATTGTTGATATTAAAAAAATTAAAATATTAAGAATTTCTGAACAGCAGCCAGACTTTCTGGGTTTTCAGATGGCTGCATCTAAATTTAGCCCTTTTTCTCCTGATCAAAAATTAAGAACAGTGAAATCTTGGTCTCAGATTCTTGCACTGGAATTGACTTATTTCCTTATAAACATTGCAAGTGTACACAAAGCATTATTGACCCAAGGCCTTGCAGTATAAAATTTTGGCTCCTTTCCAATGCAGTGCATGGGAAATTGACATAGATTAGAGAATGGAATGGAAAGCAAGTCTGGCAGGCATTCAAGGGCATTCATTTTGTTCGAATAATATTAGTGGTAGAATATTGCATTTTCCTACATAAAATGCTAGGATCCAAAAATGTGTGTGCGTATATGTGTACATATAGACCTAACTTTTAAAGGCTATCTTAATAAAAAGGAATGTAACTTAAATATGCCAATAAAAAGTGGGCTTCAACAGTGATTTCTCTTTCTTTTGGTTTTTTTTTTAAATTTTTGTTCTTCCAGGGTATTGAATGGACTCACATTGAATATTTCAACAACGCTATAATTTGTGACCTAATAGAAAATGTAAGTTGTAATTATTGCCTTAAAAGCTCTTGTCTGCATGCAAGTTTTTATAAAATTCATCTCATGAAATTAAGTGCTATAAAATGGGAAATATCCTAATTGCACTGGATTTCTGTTGGCTTGCAATGATAGTGGTAGCTTTCAATTTTGTGTGTGTGTGTGTAATGTATATAGTGGCTCAATTTTTGCACTTAATCATAGCTTACTTATGCTTGGTCTGCTGAATGTCTAGTCTAATAAGGTATTTCAAAAGTCTGGAATGGACAAAGCTATTAAGTAATATATGCATTACATTTTCCCTTAGAAATGTGCAGCAGTTAGTTCTAAAACAAACTGCATTTTTTATTTATTCTGTTAAATCAAATATTCTGATGCGGTGCTGCTTTCATTAAGAGATATCATAAGCAACTCTAAATAACATTTCTTTTGTTTGAAAACCAGGGAATTCAGTTACCACCTGCTTCAGGAAGTAATTGTACTTAATAACAATAGTTCTTATTGACTTAATACATTTTTATTTTTATCTCTCTCAAACTTTCAAAACAACCAGGACAGAAAGATAATGTACCTAGTAATACAAAATACATGCTAGCATTTTCATAATTGTTTTATTGAATTACTTGGTCTAATTTTTGTTCTTAAATGCAGGGAGAATGAGTGGGTTTGGACCACAACGTCCCGCTTTTGAGAGATGATAATGGGGAAAGAAAAGTCCATTGGGTGTGAGGCAGGGCAGTGGGAATGGGGAGGGTTGGAAGGGAGCAAGAAGGTATGGTAAGAATTTTTGTTTCCTTTTACAGAGGGATTGAATGTGGGTTGGGAAGTGAAGTTAGGTTGTGCTGGGGGTGTGGGGGGAATGGATTTCCTTGGACCCTTGGCACATGTTCCCTTGATGGCTTAATGGGATCTGTTCCCTGGTTCAAACAACTGCCACATGTGATTTTTGGGGGATGGGAGAATAGATCCCAGTCATATCATTACTACTTGCCGGTGCAGGAAAGGCTAAGGATCTTGATCCTAGGCTCCCCCTACACTGGTACAAGTAGAAAGTTGGGTGTCCAGTGAGCTGTTGTGGTCCTGGAGCTGGGACTGGAACTGCACCAGAGCGAGTTTGATGCTTCAGGGCAGTCACAGGACTGGAACCACTGCCAATCAGCTCATTGGTGGTCTTGGCCTCAGGACATCACTGGAATGAATGTGATATTGGTGAGGTCCTGGGTTGGGACTACCAATCAGCTGATCATGGTCCCAGCCTTGGGATTGCACTGGAGACAGTCCTAGAGCCCCACCATGCAGCTAGCATCAGGCTGTATGGTGGGGACCCTACCACATGTTCAATTTCAAGCGCAATGGGAACCAGCCACAAAATTATTATGAATATTTTGTGGAACAATTTTGTGGCGTATTTCCCATTTTGTCATGCCATTAATTGCTCAAATGTGTAGCTGAGTTACTATTTAAGATGTAATTAAGTGGTCAGAGGTATGGAGGGGGTATAGTGGATTGCTTTTGAATTTTTGTGGGTGAGAATTTTATTGTACTTTTAAATTTTAATATTTTATTCTGTTTATAAAATTTGTGTCTCATTGTCCTCCCTGAGTCTTTTTTGGCGGGGGGAGGAGCAGTATATATATATATATATATGAATTCGATCAGTAAACTAACTGCTTATTTTTAAGTTGGTGATGATAAATTAGTCTCTGGTATCTACTAGGAGAAAAATGAAGTTGAGTTTTGAAAAATGAAAAAGAGTAAGTCAAAATTCAAATCTGAAAAATATACTTTCAGTAACATGAATGTATGTTAAGGAAGGGGGTGAAAGAAAAACAAACTGGCTAGTTCTTGAGCTGAGCTGAAAAGGAGCAACTTTTCCACACAGCATACTTTAAAAACCAATTACAATGCAATGTAATGTAAATTTATGGTATTATTTTTAAATATTCATGAGTCTGAATGTCAGAATCAGCATAGTCTTATAGAACAAATTGCTGCAACTTTGCTTGTGTCTCATTTTTCTTTTCTGTAAAATGAGGGGATGCCTTCCTTTATAAAATGCTTTGGGATCTATGGTTTAAAAATGCTTTATAGCAGCTTTCTAATATTATCTATCTATTTAAAGATATTTCATACTTGTGACTACAGCCAAATTGGCTTTAAAGGCACTGCTGCACCAAAGATGGCAGATTTTTGCTGTTTTCAATTATTTTTAGATCTCAATGAAGAATGAGAATGTTGTGTGTGCTCCTGTAATGAAGTAAGAGAAGAAAAATACACAAAACTAACTTTTTCATTAAGAAGAAATGTGTTTTCCATGTTCAAATACTTTTCAAGATGTTAACAAATTTTCTTCACACTTTCAAAATAAAGTTTATTTTAACTGAAATCAAGCTTGAGAAGAAATTTGAGCGATATGAATGACTTCAAGGACGGGTTCAGACTGGAATGGCTTCTTTGAGCTTAATATATAGTTCATCTGTAATATTAAGGCTGGAGTTTTGGCAGGTTAAATCCAGAGGTCTGACTTGTTATGATTTAAATATTAAATGTATGGTTCGGAACCAATTATATGCTTAATTACAGGAACTAAATTGTTTGCATCACCACTGGTGTAGCTGATCTGTGTTTGTTTTTGACTCTTGCTTTTCTAGCTATATTTTAATTATAATGCCATTCTTTTCTAAGATAGCTTAATATTAGATTGATGTCAATAAAAAGATTATTTCAGTAGCGCTTTTAATGAAGGATTTTTTTTAAATTACAGAATCAAAGTGGAATTCTGGCTATGCTAGATGAAGAGTGCCTGCGGCCAGGGACTGTTACTGATGACACCTTTTTAGAGAAACTGAACCAAATCTGTGCTACTCATCAGCACTTTGAGAGCAGAATGAGCAAATGTTCACGTTTCCTGAATGATACATCCCTGCCTCACTGTTGCTTCAGAATTCAGCATTATGCTGGCAAGGTACTGTATTCGCAGAACTGGTATAAGCTTTGACCTGCACCGTTTGCATGCAAAGCCAATGCTTTTAGGATCCATATCTGAAACAATGTTAAATTATTTTAAATACTAAATGATTATACAATAAAGGTTTCATAGATTTCATAGACATCAGGGCTGGAAGGGACCTCGGAAGATCATCGAGTCCAGCCCCCCGCCCAAAGGGCAAGAAGTCAGCTGGGGTCACAGGATCCCAGCAAGATAAGCATCCAGTTTCATCTTGAAGGTGTTCAATGAAGGTGCTTGAACCACCTCCGGTGGCAGGCTGTTCCAGACCTTGGGGGCTCGGATAGTAAAGAAATTCTTCCTTATGTCCAGCCTGAAACGATCTTGAAGTAGTTTGTGACCATTCGACCTCGTCATCCCTTGGGGCGCTCTGGTGAACAAACGTTCCCCCAGATGCTGGTGGTCACCCCTGATAAACTTGTAGGTGGCCATCAGATCACCCCTGAGCCTGCGCTTTTTCAGGCTAAAGAGTCCCAGGGCTCTCAGCCTGTCATCGTAGGGTCTGCTTCCCTGACCTCTGATCATGCGCATGGCTCTTCTCTGGACTCTCTCAAGCTTCTCCACATCCTTTTTGAATTGTGGAGCCCAAAACTGGACACAGTACTCCAGCTGCGGCCTCACTAAGGCCGAGTGAATGACGTCCCGGGATTTGCTTGAGAAGCATCTATGGATGCAAGCCAGCGTTTTGGTCGCTTTACTAGCCGCCGCATCGCATTGCAGGCTCATGTTCATCTTGTGGTCAATGATGACCCCCAAGTCTCTTT